TCATTCATATTCATTAGGGAAATGGTCTATATTTTCTTTCTCTGCTTTGGCTTTTCCTTATTTAGGTATCAGCACCATATCTGTGTCATAAAAGGAATTTGGCACTGTTCTACTTTGCCCATTTAAAAAAAATAGTTTACATGTATCAGAATTAATTGTTCTTAAATGACTGGTAGAATTCACTTGTAAATCCATCTGACCCTGAAGATTTTTCTTGGGGAGTTCATTGATGACTTGTTCAATTTCTTTTACTAAAATGGGGTTAATTATTTTATTTCATCTACTTTTAATCCAAGCAACTTATGTTTTGTAAATATTCATCCATTTCACTTAGATTGTCAGGTTTATTGGCATACATTTGAGCAAATATATCTCCTAATTGTTGCTTTAATTTCCTCTTCATTCATGGTGAATTCACCCTTTTCAGTTTCGATACTGGTAATTTGTTATTTTTTCCCTTTTTCAATAAAATTAACCAAAATTTATGTATTTTATTGTTTTTTCATAAAAACCAACTCTCACTTTTACTTATTAGTTCAATAGTTTTCTTACTTACAATTTTATTAATCTCACCTTTGGTTTTCAGAATTTCTAATTTGGTGTTCAATTGGAGATTTTTAATTTGTTCTTTTTCTAGCTTTTTTAGTTACATGCCCAATTCATTGATCTCCTCCTTCTCTATTTTATTCTTGTAAGCATTGAGAGATATGAAATTTCCACTAAGAACTGCTTTGGCTGCATCCCATAAGTTTTGGTATGTTGTCTCTTTATTGTTATTGTCTTGGATGAAGTTATTGATTGTTTCTGTGATTTGTTGTTTGACCCATTTATTCTTTAGGATTAGATTATTTATTTTGCAACTAACTTTTATTCTAAGTTTCCATGGCCCTTTATTGTATCTAATTTTTATTGCATCATGATTTGAAAATGATGCATTTAATATTTTTTTCCCTTTCTGCCTTGGACAGAGAGGTATTTATGCCTTAATACATGGTCAATTTTTGTGTAGGTGCCAAGTACTGCTGAGAAAAAGGTATATTCCTTTCTATCCCCATTCAATTTTCTCCAGAGGTCTATCATATCTAGCTTTTCTAAAATTCTATTCATCTCTTTACCTTCTTTCTTGTTTAATTTATGGCTAGATGTATCTAGTTCTGAGAGGGGGAGATTGAAGTACCCTACTAGTAGAGTTTTGCTGTCAATTTCTTCCTGTAACTCACTTAACATTTCTTTTAAGAATTTGGATGTTATACCACTTGGTGCATATATATGTTTAGTAATGATATTACTTTATTGTCTATAGTACCTTTTAGCACGATGTAATTTCCTTCCTTATCTCTTTTAATTAGATCTATTTTTGCTTTTGCTTTGTTTGAGATCAGGATTGATATCCCTGCTCTTTTTTTTTTTACTTCAAATGAAGCACAATATATTTTGCTTCAGTCTTTTAGCTTTACTGTGTGTCTCTCTGCTTCAAATGTGTTTCCTGTAAGCAATATATTGTAGGATTCTGTTTTTTAATCCACTCTGCTATCCACTTCTGCCTTATTGGAGAATTCACCCCATTCACACCCACAGTTATGATCACTGTGTATTCCACCCCCTCATCTTATTTTAGCTCTGTTTGTACTTTTCTCTCTTTCTCCTTTCACCCTGTCCCTCCTCTACAGTGTTTTGCTTCTGACCACAGCCTCCCCCAATCAGCCTTCCCTTTATCATCCCCCCTTTTTTTTTTGTTTTCCCCTTTCCTTCCTAATTCCCTATAGGGTAAGAGAGATTTCTTTACCCAAATTCATGTATATGTTATTTCTTCTTTAAGACAAATCCAATGAGAGTAAGGTTCAAACAATACTTGCTTCCCTTTTCTTTCTGTGTACTGTAATAGGTCTTTCATTCCTCTTCATGTGGTATAACTTCTTGAAAAATGCTGTCCAGGATCCTTTTTAAATCATGACTTTCAGTTAGTCCAATAATTCTTAAATCATCTCTCCTGAATTTATTTCCCAGGTCAGTCATTTTTCCAATGAGGTACTTTACATTTTCTTCTATTTTTTTTCATTCTTTTGATTTTGACTGATTCTTGATGTCTCATAGAGTCATTAACTTTTATTTGCCCAATTCTAATTTTTAAGGAATTATTTTTCTTTGATTATGTTTTGTGCCTCCTTTTTCATTTAGCCAATTCTACTTTTTTATTAATTTTTTTGATTTATCAACAATCTCTTCCATAAGCTTTTGAGTTTTAAATTTTTCTTCCCCTGCCTCCCCAAGATAGCATGCAATCTGATATAGGCTATACTTATAAATCTAATAGGTAAACTATTCCTTGCTCTCCCAGTTTGTTACAGTATCAGCCTTTATGTTTAAATCATGAACCCATTTTGACTTTATTTTGGTATATGGTGTGAGATTTTGGTCTATGCCTGGTTTCTGCCATGCTCTTTTCCAGTTTTCCCAGCAGTTTTTATCAAATAGTGAGTTTTTATCCCAGAAGCTGGGGTCTTTGGGTTCATCAAATAGTAGATTACTATAATCACCGACTACTGTGTCTTGCATACTTAACCTATTCCAATGATCCACCATTGTATTTCTTAGCCAGTACCAAGCAGTTTAGATGATTGCTGCTTTATAATGCAATTTAAGATGTGGAATGGGTATGCCACATCCCCCTTCATTTCTTTTAGTTAGTTCTCTTGATATTCTGAACCTTTTGTTATTCTTAATGAATTTTGTTATTATTTTTGTAACTTTATAAAATAAATTTTGGTAGTATAAAATAAATTTTGGTAGCACTAAATAAGTAAATTAGCTTAGGTAGGCCAATTCTACTTTGAAAGAATTGATTTCTTCTTTTTTTCCCCATTTGACCAATTTTATTTTTTGAGGAGTTATTTTCTTTGGTCAACCATTTTTGCTTCCTTTTCCAAGCTGTTGACTTTTTCTATACTTCTCTAGGTCCTTGGGTGTGACCTTTTGACTCAGTCTAGGTTTTACAGAACAAATCCTTTTATTAAGGGGATTTGTTTTATGAAGTTTGGACTCAGTCAAAGGCCCACACTTGAGGACCTAGAGGGCCAAATGTGGCCTTGAGCCCACAGATTCCCCACCCCTGCTTTAGGCATATAAAGGCAAAAAGCCAAAAGTCTCTGCCTTCAGCAAGCTTATGTTCTTTTTTTAAAAAATAATTTGTTTATTTTTAGTTTTCAATATTCATTTCCATTAGCTTTTTGAGTTTTTAATTTTCTCTGCCTCCCTTCCTTCTCCCCTCCCCAAGAGAGCATGCAATCTGATATAGGCTCTACTTATACATGCTTATTAAACATATTTTCATATTAGTCATGTTGTAAAGAAGAAATAGAACAAATGGGAAGAACCATTTTCCCTTCTACCTCTCTTTCTTGATTTCATATACTTTTTGAGCTTTTCCAAGAGCACTTACTGGGCTTGAGACCAATTCATATTTTCCATTGAGACTTCACATGTAGACATTCTGACAATATTTTCCTCTTCTGAGTTTGCATTTTGATATTCCCTGTCCTCATAGTAGCTTTCTATTGTCCTGACTCTTTTTTGTTTTGTTTTGTTTTTCTCATTTTTTCAAAAAGTTGAGCTCTGCTCCTGTGGTACAGGGGGCACTGTCCCTAGCTTTTTGCACTGCGGCCTCTGGGGCTGGAAGTTTGCCCACTGCATTAGGTGGCCTGGCCTAGTCAAACCTGTTGTGCCCTGGATTAAAGGGCTCACAGTTTGCCTGCTGCATTGGGGCTAGAGGCTTCGCAGCTGGCCTGCTGTACCACTGGCCTGCTAATCCAGGACTGTGGTGTCTCAGTTGATGATCTGGCTTGTCTGCACTTTGTCTGCCCTGACTCCCCTTTTATCTAAGTGAAACAGCTTTCTTGATACACTATTTTAAAGTTGTTTGAAGGGGAATGTTGGGATAACTCGGCTGAGAGCTTTCTCTACTCTACCATCTTGACTCTGCCTCCCTCAAATCCTCACTTCCTTATATTTATAGCAGCACTTTTTGTGATAGCTAAGAAGTGGAAACAAAGTAGATGCCCATCATTTGGGGAATGACTAAGCAAATTGTGGTACATGAATGTAATGGAATTTTATTGTGTTGTAAGAAGTGATGTGTATAATGAATACAGAGAAGCATGAAAAGATCTGTTCGAACTGATGTGCTTAAAGTGAGCAGAGCCAAGAATACAATATACACAGTGACTTCACTAATGTAAATGGAAAGAACAACTGCATAGTTTAAAAGTAAATAATAAATTATAAAGGTCAAGTAACGCTTGAATGAAGAGAGTTGAGAAAACATCCTCAATCTACCTTTCGTGGAAGTGGGAGGTCCACAAGTATTACACACTGCATATGTTTTCAGACTTTTTGAATGTATTGATCAATTGTACTGACATTTTTTCCTCTCTAAAAAAACACCATTTGTCATATGAGATGGCTCTGTAGGAGAGGAACAGAAAGGGATGCCTGGGATAATGAAAGTGATGTAATAAACAAAAAAAAATAAAATATATATATATTCTTTTATATGAGGCAATTGGAGTTAAGCACCTTGCCCAGAGTCACACAGTTAGTGAATGTTATGTGTCTGGGGCCAGATTTAAACTCAGGTCCTCCTGAGTCCAGGGTCAGTGCTCTATCCACTGCACCACCTAGCTCCTCCAAAAACATTTTTTAAAGTAATGCATAGTTAGATAACCTCAGGAAATGACTATACAAGCTTAGGACTTCATCAGAAAATCAAGTCCTAGGTTGAAGGTACAACAACCGGGTGAAATACTAACTGCATTCTACCATTCAGACTAATGACTTATTATTTCACTGAATTCAGGTGACTTAAAACATAAGTATTTCAGTCAAACTTAGTCCTTCAAAGCAAGTAGATACAATGTAGGTGGGGGTCAAGGTAAGGCCATGTATGAATTGGACACTCCTCTCTGGGGACAGGTTAAAATTTGACAGGAAAAAAGAGATTAAATGTCTTTATCATTCACTTTCATTTTCCACCCAAACCTCCAGAGTGCCTGAAAGCAATCCTTGCAGGAACGTAAGTATTTTGGAGTTACATACTAAATATGTCCAGCATGGTAATTCCTTCTACCGTTTCAATTTACAAACTGTCTGAAACTTTGGACTCATAAGTCCTAAAGAGTTGCTTGAGACATACTTAAGTTGTGATGTTCCGCAGTGTAACAGCTAGTCAATGTAAAAGATGGCATATTTGTGACTCCGAGTCGCCTTTAATTTTGCATGTCATGCTACCAACATAAGTGTTAAATGTAGATGGGGATTGTATGGATGTAGTACTACTTTACTACCCCTTAAGACCATGGACAAATAACTAATGATATGAGAGTCTTAGTTCTTCAGATAAAAATATGAAGGTTGGGCTGTAAGTCTATAATGCTGTATTTTTTCGGTATGCATCAATTTTTTATTCTCTTGAATCTTGGCAACCTGCTTTTCTCTCCTTTTTGACAAACTATACAGAACAGTATATTTACATTAACCTTTCTTTACCTTCAACTTCCTTTGTGGAAGTCATTTTGATTTATAATAACACCAGTGGTGTATATCAGTATTTGATTCTTCAAGCTAAGGAAAACAGCAATAGCAAACTTTTGATTTTCTGTTCCAGACCAAAATGTACTTATTCCTTTAGATAAGCACACTTTATACCAGGGTGATAATGATGAAAATGATGAAGATAATTTCATAAGCAATTTCGTATTCTAAACTCTCACTGTCCTTGGCCTCTACCCTTCAAGGGAATCAAACTTTTTAAGCATGAAGTGATTTCTAGACTATTTTGGTCTGAGTGTCATTAATTTACATTACTGTAACTTTAGAAAACAGTACTGTGAATTCTTTTTTTTTTTTTTGGGAGTAGAGGAGATGTATTTCCCATTTCTAAACATCAACATCTCATTCAAAAGGGTTAGGTTAGAGTTTGCTCAGTTATGCACCATATCTTCACATTTTTGTGCTTCCTTCTAGTTTGGTATTGGTTTTGATCTTTGCTCTAATAAATTGGCAATCTGATAGTATAAAATTATCTTATTTAGAAATGATTCTCATATAACTAACAAATAGATTTTTGTCCATTAAAAGAAAATCTACTCAAAATATTTTTTGGTGGTCACCATTTCTACTTCACTCAAGTTGTTTCTGAAAATATCCACGATATAATGAGGCTTCTTCTTTATATAATCTATGGCAGTGATATTTTTAATTTCTTACGTCTGAATCATATTTTCCAGCACCTTTTTCACCACCTTCCCCACCATATTTGAAGGGAAGCCACCTATTAAGTAATGGAATATGGATTGTACTTATGATTTTGTTGGCACAGATAGTTCCTAGATGTGAGAACTCCCTATATCAATTCAAATCAATACTTTCGCTGCAACTTATCAATACTTGTTAGGGCACTTAAAGCATAAGTGAGACATTTGGGGTTATACAGCTAGTATATAAACTATTGACTATGTTCTTAGTATATGTTATTAAATTTGATGTTTGCATTCTTTGAATAACACAATACTCATAAATAACACACCAAGTAGTGGTGGCATTTTTAACGAATGCTTTTTGAGCTTCTATAACCTTTATTGCTTGTCTTTTGTGATTTTATAATCAGGGCTTAACACAGTGTTTTGAATAGAGTAGGCATTTTATAAATGTCTGTTGAATAAATTCTGCTGAATTAAGATTTAAAGAGGAGGGTGAGACTACATGAAAACCTCAAAGGACAAAAGAAGTTTCTTTTCGTTAAGTGGAAAAATAACCTATGTCTCTTTGATTTCCTGTGTTGAAACAGTGCCTTTCATTTTCTAGAATGCATAGTACTCTCAGTGGCATACACATGCCATAGCTTCCAGCTTTGATTGGTTTGGAGCTTTGGATCTGGTAGATTGTTAGTAAATTTTTAGTGCAAAGCATAGAGTTTATCTCTAACACAACACTCAAAGCCCATTTGTAAAAAAATTCTCTCCATTGGTGGAAATTGCTTACTCAAATCTTTGCTATGTGATAAATGCAGTTGGTGAGAGCTTTGGAGAGGGCCTGGTATACTGGCTTCAAGCTTTAAGAATAGAGAAATACAGGGGCAGGTAGGTGGTGCAACAGATAGAGCACTGGCCCTGGAGACAGCAGGACCTGAGTTCAAATCCGACCTCAGACACATAATGAGTCCTAGCTGTGTGACTCTGGGCAAGTCACTTAACCCTAATTTCCTTACTAAGATAAAAAAAAAAATAGAGACATATCATTCCTGACTCTCTTGAGATCCTTGATGGGAGAAGAAAGACCTGAGAAGAAATTGCCACACAGATGACCCAGCACTGCAGTCATGTCTCTTATCACTAGGTTGCTTCACTACAGACTCTGGGGCCCTTTGGGTGAGAGCTGCAATTCTCTCCCTTTGTTGAGCTGTCTTACTGACAATGAGAGAGCTCGTTTAATCTGCATATTGTCTGGTATACATTCTCAACTGCATAATTTCTCTGATTTCTTATGACTATTTGGTGGGATTAAGTGGTTTATTTACTATTTGCCATGGGTACTCATTGTAGAATTGACATTTTTCATCCAATTCTATCTTTAGACTCACATGGAAACAAAGGGTTGGGTTGGCATTGTAAAGGGGCACTTTCAAGTATGAAGAGATGCTCTTCTACCTCTCTGGGCCCCCTAAACCCTGAACTCTTATGGCTATATTTTTAGGAAAGTGATCATTGGGACTAATGAGATGGGCAAAGATTGATGAGAGTTTGTGTTTCGGTAAAATTTAAACTACTAGATCCTTTCTGGGTAAAGTACTTCTTCTTGCTGTCCACTAGGACATTTAGCTCAAAATTACCAGCTTCTCAGTTGAACTGCGGGTTCTTCACTATGGCCCTATTTATCCTCTTACTTTGTCAGGGGAAAGTGGGACAGACCCATCCCTGTTAGCCAAGTGCAGCTATTACTTATATTGTTTACCTCCTGATTCTAGCCCCTTTACGCATGTGACTGATGAATGAAAAATCAAGAGATTGCCTACATCCTTGTTTGAATGATTAATGATGCTGCAGAAAGAGATTTGGGGAGAGCTTTTGACCCTTTAAAAAGGTTAGAGACATTTTTCCTCTTCTAGTTCAAGCTGAAGAACAAGGGGAGAGGGAGATATGTATCCTGCTAAGATTTTCCGTAAACAAAGAAATGTACCATAATCACTTCTGCTAGAAAAGAGATACTTAACATGGGGTCTAAGTACCCCTAAAAGCTCTGCCAATGTATTTCTTTTTTAATTTTTAAAATAATTTTGTTAATATATTTTGATTTATCAATAATCACTTCCATATGCTTTTGAGTTTAAAATTTTTCTTCCCCTTACTCCCCATCATCCTCCCCAAGACAGTGCACAATCTGATATAGGCTATACATTTACATTCCTATTAAACATATTTTCACATTACTGATGTTGCAAGTAAAAATTAAAACCAATAGGAGGAACCATCAGAAAGAGGAAACAAAACTCAACAGAAGAGAAAAAAATAGCCATTCAACTTTCATAGTTCTTTCTTTGAACGTGGATAGCATTTTCCATCACGAGGCCTCAGGAGATGTCTTAGATCCTTGTATTGCTGGGAAGGGTTAAGTTTATCAATATTAGTCATTGCACAACATGGCTGTTATTGTGTACAACATTCTCTTGCTTCTGCTCACTTCACTCAGCATCAGACCATACAACTCTTTCCAGGTTTTCCTGAAGTCAACCTGTTCATCATTTCTTACAGCACAATAGTATTCCATTACATTCCTATACCACAACTTGCTTAGCCATTCCCCAGTTGATGGGCATCCTCTCAATTTCCAATTCTTTGCAACCACAAAAAGAGCTGTGATGATTATTTTTGTAAATGTGCGTCTTTTTCCCATATGTACGATCTCTGCCAATATATTTCTTGGGGTTTGTGAACTTGGGAAAATGTATACCTTTATTTCAATAAATTAGTTTCCATAAAAATACCACATATTTTATTTTATGCATTGAAAACATTTTGGGAAGATGTTTAGCCTCTCTGTCTCTATTTCTGTCTCTCTCCCTCCCTTTCTCTCTCCTCTCTCTCTTTCTCTCTCTCTCTCTCTCTCTCTCTCTCACACACACACACACACACACACACACTACCACAAACAAGTAAACAAATAAATAACATTAAGAAGCCCTTGTTTTACCCATAAATAGGATAGAATATAATAATATAAATGATTGATAGCCCTTAGATCTAACATAAATCAGTCCTTGAGGCAAACAATCTAGAAAGGATAAACCTTATATGAGGTGGCATCTTCTGTGCTCCTATTCACATGTGAGGTGTCATGGTGATGTTGAACTCTTATCACTCTCCTCCCAAACCCTGGTGACCACAAAAAAAATCCTGCTCACATATGTATCTAATTACATGAATTTGCTACTACTTATTTCCCTACTAGGCTATACATTTAATGAAGACAGAGATTATATATTATTTAAACTTTATATCTCCCTTAGTGAGAGATATTATAACAGTAGACAGAGATGAGTTTGAATCAGGAAGATTAAAAAAGTCCTGCCTCTGGCATATATTAGTTGTGTGACCCTGGATGAGTGATAATCTCTTTCAGTGATCCAGATAATAATCCAAGACTATAAGTTGTAGAGCAGGTGTTGACTTGAATTGTTAGAGAGAATTTTCTCATCAGGAATTCCCTATATCAATGAAATGAAAGGTTTTGTCCAGAAACAAACATCAAAAAAGTAAACAACAACAACAACAACAAAATCATACTCCCAACATCTAATATAGAGCTCTTCATATTGTAAGGGCATAATACATTTTTAATTTATTTATTAATTAGTAGAGAAAGGAAAATCCTGAATGTGTGGCCCATTTGGTGATCAAAATCTTTATGCAATGTGTAAGCAGTAGTGTGACATGGTTCAAGGAACAAGCAGGGAAAGCATGATTTGAGCTATTGTGTCAAGGATATCATGGAGCGGGTGAAAACTAGAGGTCCAAGGAT